CAAGTTATCCAGAAGACAATACAAGGATCTTCTCTCTATAGAAAGAAGAGAGTAAAACTTCTAAGTTTTTAATTGTTCCTTCTTATATTAAACTGTCTTAACAGTCCAACTGCACATGTCATAAAAGATCTAGGATCCAAGTCATGAACTTACCCCAACCAAGCATCTTCTCTTCAACCTTCTTAAGTTTCTTTTTCTTCCTGCTGTCTACTTGTTTGGATATAAATTTTTCTCCTGCATTAGGTGAAATAAAACTAAATGTAACAAGATATCTTGACAGAAGTTTAAATCATCATAAAGTTGTTCTACATCCTATATGAAAAGGAGACAAATTTAGGATATCATCCAAGTAGATGATAGCACCATAGATAAAACTTAATACCTTTCTGCTCAAACTTAGCTCGAGATACTGACATTAGAAGCTTGTCATTTGGACGTAAAGGTGTCCCATCCAAAATTTGAATTGCTAGGTCAACTGAAGGTTCCTAATTTTCATGCATACATCATAAATGCCAAGCTAAAGGATGATGTCACATTGCTTTTGAAGTGTAAAGTACATAAAATACCTTCAAGTAAGTGACTAGTGCATCTCCTTTTTGTTTTCCGGTCAATCTGTCCATATAAATCTTCACACGAGGCTTTTTAGTTTCAGAATCCTACACATCATTGTGTGTCCTCATGAGCTATTTGATGTAATAAAGTAAATGACAAAATGAATATATATTAACATTAGCTGATCCAATAATAGAAATATCATTGAAGCACAAATTATGCCATACGTTTACAGATGAAATAACATCCTATCCATCTTTTCAAAGGGACACATTTTAGGTGCAGGGTTAATTATCGTGCAGTAACTAGTTGAGAGAATTAGAAGAAAATGGAGACAGGGAAGAGGAATATTATTTGGACTTGTTATCCATTGATGTCAATAAACTTATAAAGAACCTGTCAAGAACATGCAAGGCCAAATTGCAATACCTTCGTTACAGCTTGGCAGAGGGACTGATGTAGGACAATCAATTGCACAATCACTAACTAGTATGGTAATGACAACACCAGCTCAACAAAGTCCATGGATAACAAGAGATGAGCAGTTGGGGAGAAAGGACCCAGGAAGAGTTTAAGCAAAGGTGAGGGAAGTGGGAGAAGGAATAGAGGGAAAAAAAAGGGAAGAAGAAAAGGTAGGAGGAGGAGAGACGAGAAGAAGAAAAGGGTACAAGAGCATTGAGTAGAATTTTAAAGAAGACATTTGGTTCAAATTCTATCCCCAAAAAAAAAATACTTTTACATAAAATTAAGTGCCTTATATAGGAGGGCAAAAATGATTGGCAAAAGAATAATAGCAAGATGCAAACTAATAGTTCCAACGGGTTTAAATAGGTTAAGCAGGTTTAACCTGTTTGGACACAATTTTTTGATGGGCCAAAAGGGGTCTAACTCGAAAATAACCCAAACTTGTATACTAAATCCAAACTCATTTAACTTTGTATTTAAATGAGTGATTTTAGTAGGTTGTTTGCAATTTTGCAAACCCTCCCTAATTGAGTAGAATAAAAGGAATGACTCTTAAATAGGAAACAAAGGTTGTAAAACAAAAAGTCCCACATTAAATAGAAAACAAAAGGAATGACCCTCAAATACAAAAAAAAGGTTGTCAAACCAAAAGTCCCACACTCTCCCAAAAGAAAACAAAAAAAAAACTCAAAACCCCAGATTTGCAAATAACCCAAAATTGAGATAATCATGGGTCAGATGCGCCTTACCATACCCACCCTGTTAGATACATCCTTCACATGTACTTGTCCCATGCCTTGGGCAGGTATAGATTTATATAATTGCCCCTGTCCGACGGTTAATGCCCGCCAACTATCACCTGTCCCATAAGTAACCAACCATTTACCCATGCCTCTGCCATATGCTTTACCCTCTTTACTGCCCGGGTTGTAGACAAATCCTAGAAATCTCAGTAGCCCTAGTATACCTTAAGAGTCTTTCCTAAGGGAAAAGAAACTTCTCAGAATATTAATGCACCAAGATTAAGATAAATGCGTAAATATTAGTAAATGTAACTTACAAATCAAATCCAAAACCAAAAGCAATTAAACAAAATTCAATCATTATAACGTACAATCATTATAAGTTATGTACTTTCACAAGCTAAATGGAAACAGAATTACACTAATAACAGAGTACAAAATTACAAAGGAGACAAAACCTACCGAGATTTGCCTAAGAAAATACAAAAAGAAAACTCAACAAAACAGAAATTAAAGCAACACGAAACAGAGGAAACCAAAAATTGCAGAGGTATGTTCACTGGTGCAGTAGAAAAAGGCAATCTAGAGCATACCACCTCTGACCAACAACCTTATTAACTCAAGAAAATCAAGATAGAAGTCACCTTTCATGACTAACACATTTAGATCCTAGATCTGAGGCAAGCTGCAAAGGAATAATGATGGTCTAGGAGATGGCTGAGACCACCATATGTGGAAAATTTGCCTGGTGTCTATTGGTTACTAGTCACGATGCAATAAACAGATGAGGACAGAGGGATTGTGACTTCACAAGAAGGCTGTGAAGTGTGAAGAGAGAATGGTAGAGAACCGCAAAGAGACGGTTTGCTTGGCTGACAAGAGTGCGATAGCCCTGTGAGAATGAAAGAAGAGAGGAGGATAGATGGTGAGGTGAAGGCTTGGCGGTGGTGAGACGTGGAATGTGAGAAGGGAGACTGAATGAAAAACCCTAACTTAACACACATATTTAATTTTTTTTTTATGAAATAACACAGATATGTAACGGCACATATGTAAAAACATAAAGGCATCAGACTAATTTTAGAGCAAGGAAAATAAACAGGACAGAAAAGGTACAGGACGAGTAATAACAATATCCAATACCTGCCTACAGCCACTGCAGGTACAACTACATACAATCCATATCCACCTTACAACTTATTATTTTCACCAGTTTTTTGGTCTCAAAAAGGGTGTATAGGGCAGATTAGTGAATAACTCATCCTAATGAACATCGCTTATCCACAAAGCAGCTAAGGGGACAAAGAGATTAATTTAAAAATTAGTACTAGGGCATTTTGAAGAAAAGAAGAGAAAACATGTCTTCTTCTTTGGATGATGAAGAATTGACAAAGAACAGAAAAGAAACTACTTGCAATCCTTTGTTTGGCTAAGTAGTATGAAAGAAAGAATGCATTATCACAAATATAATTTTAGTTATTGAGCATGTATGCCTGCCAAATTATTTTAATGTACCCGACATTTATTGAATCTTGAAATTAATGTGTAGAGATTGTACTGCAAACACTTACCAACCTACTTGAAGCCAAATTTCTGAATAATCTACAATGAAACTTAAGTTGAAAAGGTAGAAAATATTCAATATTCAACAAAAAAAAATATTGATGATAGCCTAAGTACATCATTCCTTTCGTTAGAAAGTATGCGCAAGTTCAAGTTCCATTCAAACATCAAAGTGGAATTCAAGCATGTCAGCTACAAGAAAATGTGATGTATGATAGAATATGCAAAAGAGAAACTATACCTCTTTTATTATGCCACATTTAGAAAAGACTCTCACCACCTGCAATGTACCTCAAAAAGTTAGCACCATTACAAAAAAGATAGGTAAGAGTAAAACAGTGACTGTGACTTACTTCGTCGACAGTGGCATCATCAGGTAAACCGGTAACATAAATATGTGGATTGACTTTCAATTCAAACCAAGAATCGGGAGGCTTGTTAGCTTCCTGAAAGGTAATAGTGTAAAGTTTTTTAAAATAAAAAGTATAGTATGATATAACATCACAGCACGATGGAGGTACCAACCAATGTACAAAAAAAGTATTTACATGTCAATTAGAAAATAAATCAAGTCTCCAAAATCCTTTATCATATAAAGAGAATGACTCTAACCAAAAAATCCATGGTCTAAAACCATCTATCTTTAATCCCATCAAATTCATCTCTTACCCCCTCAAAAGCTCATCTCTTATCCCCTCAAAAGCTCTCTTATTCCTTTCTTTCCACACCCCCCAAAAGATAGCAAGGGTGACGAGACTCAGACTTGTCTTCCCTCTACTAAGACCCCTAAGGACCCAAATTTATTCCCTTACTAAGCTAGCCATCGCCCAATTGATCATCAGTAACCCGTAAGTCATGATTGCAAAAGAAGTTGTAGTGATACAAGAGTTGATTGCCTAAACCATTTGTCCCTGAAACCCAATCTCCTCAACATATAATCAAGAAAGCCCCCTTTTTGATCCACCTAGATCTCAATTTTTCTCTCCATGATATCCCCTCCCCTCCTTGCTCCACTTTTTAATTTCAATCTTCATTACTTTCATCTTTTGGTCCACTCTAAAGCTAGTATTACCATTCACCGTAATCTCTCTCTACCATTCACTAATCTTATTTCAAAACCATTAATTTTCAACCATTTACTTTTTTTTTTTAAATAAAAAGAATTTTCACAATTTATCTTCAAACCTGAATGGGTAAAACTC